AGTCCATGTTTGAACACTATTTGCCAAATAAAAACGAACATGCTACAGTAGCTCCAAAATCCAAATTCCTACAACTAAACAAGGGCTTGGTATTGGTGGTTTTGGATCCAATTTAGTAAGCCCGGTGAAGCCTCCATCTTATTTACGGCTCAATATTACTTGTCCTCGAAGACACAGATCGATCAGACAGTCGAGGGGAGCGCCGGCTGTACTATCGGAGTGCGAGAATGAGAGAATGAGGACCCTCGATGCTTCTATCGTGACCACTTCTCGTGGGCCCTGTGGCCCCAATGGGCCACGCGACTCCGACAGAAGCATCACCTATGTCTAGCTTTTACTTGTTTGTGCTCTGTAATATGAGAATTCTGTTCCCACACTGGTGTACTATGCTTTAACGTTATATATTAAAAGTTGTTGTAAAAAAATTATTTTAAAGCCACCGGACTTGTTATGTTTTATAAAAAAATTATATTATATACAAAATATGGTAAGAAAATATCGGTGGACACGGCACATGAGAGACTATCAACTAAAGACATGTCAAACACATAGGGAGATTTGATGCAAATGAGAAAATATAATAATTAGGATGTGAAAGGAGATAAAATACTTTTAACCAAAGCCTGAAAAGGGATAAAGAAAATATTTATCAGTGAACATTACCTGAACTACATGAATTAAGTTCGGGTTTTTACATTTGCTATCCAAAATTATGACGGGTATTTCAGGTTTGGGTTCAAGTAATTTGAGTTTAGGGATTGGGTATGAGGTGTTTTGCCCACCCCTGGTTTGAGTTCAGTTCAAGGACCATCAAACTTAACAGGTAATGTAGTATTCCTTGGAATGATGTACATGTTTTTTTAATTAACCTCCCCTTTATTGTTGTTCCTGATTTTTTTTGAGAAACTATTGTTGTTCCTGATGAGTTGTATCTTTGATCATCAAGTCATTTACAAAACTCAGGAGGGGGCAAGCCCAAATCTCAGCATGACCCAGGTCCCATCCTGACCCCAAACGGGCCAACCCATGAGCTCAAAAATTACATGCACGAGGCGAGAAAGAAATATCAACATGAGAGAAATCAAAAGGTATAAGAAGACGTAACTCCCTAAACAGGACACCACCTGGAGCAAGGTCTGACGATTTAAGGGATGTGACTAGCGACAAAGAGTCAGTTTCCACATATACATGTGAGATCCCAATGCGCAATTTCTACTTGTAGACCTGCAAGATAAGCTTCTGTCTTTGCACATAGGGCATCGCGTGCTCATGGTCGATTATTACCAGTGGCGGATGCAGGATCCAAATCCTGTGGGGCCAAGCTTTACACAGATATACACAAGATCAATTAATTGCAAGGAAATTAACAAGTGTTATGTAGGGGGTTTAACATGTTGTGGCAAAACCTGTGGGGTCAGGGGGCCGTACAGCTTAAGTGTAGATCCGCCACTGATTTATTACCAGCTCCTACAAAGAGGCAGTTCCTTCGTGTTCCCGAAGTACAAAACCCCAACCACCAGATTCGTTTGCAGCCTCAAAAGCGTCGTCAACATTCATTTTCAATCTTCCAGGCTGAGTAGGGATCCAATATTTTACAGAAATACTATATAACACACATGTGTTTTAACAAAAAAAAAATATATAGATTTTTTTTATCTCTCTCCCTCTCTCTTTCTCACCGGTGACCACCGGCGCCGGCGCCGGCGACCGGCGAGCTCGCCCCCGCGCCTGCACCGGCCATGGTAGATCTGTGATTTGTCCTTCTATAGAAAAAAAAACGTGATTTGTGATCTGTGATCTGTGGAGGCCGGAGGTAGAAGAAGGGTGGAGGCGGTTGGATCTTAATCCTATAATGCAAAAAAAATCATGTATTAAAACTGCATAAAACACATAGTTGTGTAGTAGACAGACTTTATACTTGGAACCTTCACTTTATTGACAGGTACCAAAGCTTCAATTTCAATACCCTGTGAATTACTTGGTCACATGTTCTGACAATTTCACGGCATTAGTTTTATTTCTCATATCCCACCAACCCAATAAAAGTAAGACAATTAGCAGTTTAGTTTGATTCTCCATTGAAATGATGGGCATGATCACACCTCTTGGGGCAGTCAAACTGAAGGAGTTTTGTATACGTAATAAGTCTGACTTAGCATCATCCCAGCTTGAATTCATGTTAAAAAACCACTTTTCACGGGAAGGGGTGATGACAATATATGTTAATACACCAGTCCGCGCTCCAATCGTGTGGCTTGGCCCACGCCTCATAGAGCCAAAGTAAAAATTTCGGCATGCACCGGAGACAGACACGCAGCGTGCGAGGTGAAAATTCTTCTCGCTCTTTGTCGGTGTTTCATAAATCGGACTAGTAAATTTATACGATTATCATGTTGTTTTAGGAAGACGATGATAGCATCCAAAAGACACGAGGATTTATATTGGTTCAGGCCGGAGTCCTATGACCAATCTCAGAGATGATCGAGTGCGTGTTCCTCGCTTGAATGCTCTGAAGTTCTTACAATGAAGGTGCAAAAATGGTGGAAGAGGTAGAAGAACCTAAGCTAGGTGACGGGCAGCCCGAAGAGAAGCTTCAGGAGCCCTGCTACGATGGAGAGTGAGTGAATGAGTAGGGAACTCAGAATATCTGGAAAGGGTGCCCTGGCTGCCCTTATATAGAGTTCGGGGCCAGGGCGCATACAAAGCAATAGGTTCTCCCGATCGAAGGGTCGTGAGCCTGAGGGAGGTCATAGCTAACTTGGCTTGCAAGCTACGCCGTCTTTCAAGGTGCGTCCGGGCGTGGCTGTCGTCATGGTCTTGTGGCCACGTCTCGGCATGGTGTGGCATGGTGCTACTGTGCCGGCTGTGGTGGCACTGTAGGCACGATGGTAGTTCGTCAGTCGTCCTATGCGACGTGGTCTCCGCCGTGGTCTTCGCCATCATCTTCTGGTTTCCTGGGGCGTCGTACAGGAGTTGGTGGCCGCCCCTGGGTTGTTGGTTGCCTTGTTGTCTTGAGGAGGGGGGGGGGGCACGATCCCCATCGTTGGGGTCGTGGTTCCCGCCAGCCTGGATGGCCTCTGAGTCGAGGCCCTTGCCGTGGATCCCATCTCGTAGTGGGCAGGATCATACTCTTGTCTCGTCGGGATGTATCTGGCCGGTGGTCATCGTACCTGTCGTCACCGGTTTGGGCGGTATTGTCTTGTTTGTGCGGCATGGCACAGGGATGGTGTCTGACCGGACAGAGATGACTGCTGTCTCCTCGGTCCTTGCGGGGTCTGTGCGGCATGCTCATTCCTGTCAGAGCGGGCGCGCTTGGCCGGGCTCAACCTCTCTTCGTTCCTTCTAGGGGTCGTGATGGGAGAGAGGTCGGGCGCCTTTCCAGCGCCGTGTACCTAAGGCGCGAAGGAGGGGTCGTGGCTGACCCAGGCCATAGCGTCCGGCCTGGTTCGCCTGGCTTAGCTGGGCCTCGGTCGTTTGGGCCTTCGCTAACTAATGTGTTATGGGCCGCTCGGCCTGCTTAACTAATTGGTGCCTTGAGACACCCTGAGGTTATAACCCCGACACTCCTTTTCTCTTCGCACGCACGGGCGCGCCCATGGCTCCTCCCTCCTCTCCTAGATCCACTCATCCTCCCCCAAATCCACTCGTCCTGAATCTTCCTCCCAAATCGTCGGTCCCCACCGCCGCCCACGGCGCTCCTCTCTGCACCGCAACCCCCATATTCCCCCTCCTCCCAGATTCCTTTCTCTTCTTGTCTATCCCCCACCCCCCAGATCTAGATCCGCTTGCGGATAGTTGCAGCGCAGCGGCAGCCGGCGGCGAGCACACAAGGAGAGGAGCTCCCCGTGGAAGTTGAGGCGTGCTAGCAGATTGGGGAACATCAGTGCAGTTGTGGTTTCTGCTAGCTTACGGCGGCGTTGCGGATGTGGTCACGCAGACGGCGTTAGCACCCACGGCTAGAGGTTCATCCGGCGGCAACTGCAACCCACACCCAGGGTAATAGGCAGCAGAAGGCAGTTGATTGTGCAACAGGCAATCCATTTTTGCCTTGTTACTGCCTACGCTATGTGCTAGAGTGAAAGGTCGTTTAGGAAGTTGTAGCTTCATGTTGCTCGCTCCGATGTATGTATGACTTAGGAAGATAGTAGTTTCATACTGCCAGATGTATGACTTAGCTAGCAACTTAGGTTTTTCCTAACTTTGTGTTGCAACTAAGGCAGTTGGTTCATGTATGACTTTTCTTGGCACATGTTGCCAGATGTTTGAATTTTTAGTGATGACAATATATGGATTGAGACTCCTGAATATAACATTTATCGCCTCCTTATGGTTGAATGGTTCATTGAGCTAATGTGGTAGTTTGAGTGGATTTAAATTATTTGAATGGGAGGCTGAACATCGGGGATAATTCCTGTTGGGTTTTTGATGGTGTATAAGTGAAGAAATACTTTACTCATGGTTGGGCACCGTTGGGGAAGGGAAAGAAGGTTTTCCTGACGGCTGTTCACCTACGGGGAAGCCAAACAGGATCTCTACGGTGGTGGGTCACCGACAGGAAAGGTTTAAAACACTCCTGACGGGATCCGACCGACAGGGATTGATTCCCTGACGGTAAAGAGAAAACTGACGCAGAAAGTTATCCCTGACTGTTGACACCATCAGGAAATATTCCACGACGGTTATCGGTCAAGAAAGGTTGACTTTCCCTTTAAGTTTTTCTACAGTAACCGTCACGGATGGTCCTTCCTGACGGTTTTGAACACTTTCCCTGATGAAACAGACCATCACGAAAAACTTGCCCAGGGTGGTGAAGGGAGATAAGCCCCACCTACCCGGCACTTGCACTGTTCATGGTAGTTTTGTATTCGCCATGATGTGTATATTTGTTGGAAATAATCATGCTACAAGTGTATAAGTACATGCATGTAGCACAGTGGCAACCGGCCAGCCAATCATTTGACTGTTATATATAGCAGTACGTATAAACCCATTACAGACGGCTAGTGTTTGCAGTGGTTTATGCTGTTAAGCCAGCCGTCGGCAATGTAGCGGTGGGCTGCTTCTGTGAAGTGGCCATCCCAGTACAAATAGGCCGACGGATCCTGGCACACCGTGGAGCCCGGCATGCCACAGCCGGCGCTGAGGTTGAAGTTGTACTTGCCGCCTCCACCACAGCAACACCTCAGAATATCTCTGGTAAACCCTGCAACAGTACAATATAATTATCCATGGAGCTGACTTTCTGTAGAAGAATCATTTGCATTGTACGTACCCTTAGAATTCTGGAAGTAACAACAGCACTGCAACTGGTGCGGATAATGACTAAAACGATCGAGATGGAAATGGAATTAGGCCGAAAGCGACACATCACATACATACTAACCTAGCTTTGCCGGGGACTCAACGATGTCGATAACCGGAGTAAAGAAATCAGCGTAGATGACTCTGACGTTCCTGTGCTTCGTCTGCACGTCGCTGACGGCCGCCTGTAGCAGCGAGTTGTGGTAGACGGCCAGGTCGTTGAAGCCCTTCAGGCAGCCGGTCCTGGGGTCGTAGTCCGCCGGATCGGCGCTGGGGAACATGGCTAGGTTCGGCGGCGAGCATCCCATCGGCGGGATCCCGGGGACCACCACCGTCCTCGCCCCCTGCCTGATCACTTCCTGACGAGCGACACGCAGGACATGCAGTCAGCAGCAGCAGCAGCCCATGGCACGCACGTAGTACGCATGCATGTAACGAGAAAGAGCAGTGGCCGGCGTCTCTGATCAGTTATTACCTCGGCTGCTGTGGAGATGGTTTTAACGACTTCCGGGACGAAGGACCTGATCTGCGACAGGTTCTTGCCGAAGACGGAGAAGCTGTAGTCGTTGACCCCGAACTCGCCCATGAAGAAGAGCGCGTTGTGGAACAAGTGCCGGCAGTCTAGAAGTAGAAGGGACGACAGGCACACGCGCCGTGAGGTGGACAAACAGGCACCAGGCACTCGATGTCTCGATCGGAGGTGAGAATCGAAGCAGCTGTGTGCTAGCAAGTGCGTTAATTATTGTTACCTTGTTGATCAGGGTGGCACAGCGATGGCTTGAGCGATTGGAACCACCGCAGCTGCACGCTGGAGCTGGTGTTGAGAGCGAACGGGCCCACGACGGGGATGTCTCTGTAGAAGCTGGCGTCGCGGGCGAAGGCGCCCGCCACCGCGAAGTTGGAGCCTTGCCGGAAGCTGCTGTTGCCGTTGTGCTGCAGGAACGGCGGCAGGAGCGGGAGCCCCAGCTTCTCAGCTTCGCGCCGAGGGAGCACACGACTCAGTCTGTCAGTACTCAGTGTAGACACCAACGGATGGAGACGACCTGCAGCGTGTGCTCTGCTCAGTGCTCAGTGCTCAGTGCTCACCGATGAAGTCGATGATGAGGCGTCCGTTGGAGTTGCGGCCCGTGGGCTTGCCGAAGAACGTCATGCCGTAGGGGAGCCGTGCCGCGGGGTTGGCCAGCGAGTTGGCCGCGAAGACGACGATGTCGTTGCCCGTGTCGGCGAAGGAGTCGCCGAAGCTGAAGATGGAGTCATAGCGAGCGTAGTTGTCAGGGAGGGTGGAGGAGGAGACCGCCGGATCGACGTCCACCAGCAGCATCACAACGGACGTGAACAAGAGAACTGACGACGAGAAGAAGACGCGGAGCAGCTTCATCGATCGTTATTGGTTGTTACTTGTTAGGGAAAATTCGAGATGGGCATGGCCGGCGCAAGCGGTGCATGCATAGAGAACTGAATGAACATATGTATGCCTGCATATGGTACTGTATCTCTGACTGATCGGGCATCAGGTGTAGTTGCGCACGTCCATAGATCGAATCGATCCTTGACTTTGATCAAGGCAAATAAGAGCCTCTTTGGTTCACCTAGTGGCTTCTAAATTTAGTAGCTTTTAATCTCTTTAGTAACTTTTTTATTAAACACTATGATTAAATGTGACTAAAAGAGCTTTAGTCCTCTCTAGTAACTCTGGAGTTACTAAAAGTGACTAAACCATTTAGTAGCTCTTAAAGTTTAGTAGCCCAAACCAAACTTGCCCTAATACTGCCGGTAGCTGGTTGTATGTATCTTTACAGCTTCTTTTATAGTCCATCTACACAGTTCTTCACTATTAATACATAGTTTACTTTCTTTTCTTATAATATTTCTTGTTCTTTTCATAAGCTTCTCTTCTCTTTCTCTTTCCTTCACCTGAGCGTTCAGCTTATTTATTATACAGGATGTTCGTTTGGCTGTGGCTTATCGTAAACGATCGTAAATTTTTAGCCGGAACAGTATTTTTCTCTCACACAAACCAGTCAACAGTACTTCTTCACGAATCAGCAACGATACAAACCAGCCAACCGAACAGACTGATAGTTGCTCTAACAACTCTTCGCTGACTTTGCTTAGCGCGGTAGCGCATGCGCCGCCGCCGATTTCTCCTAACTACTTTGTTGAAGCAAAGTCACCGGCGGATAGTTTCATACGGTGAAGCGAATGAAAACGATGCGCTTGTTTTCATTTGATCCCTCTACAGGTGGGGCGGGGGAGTACTGTAGCGTAGAGAAGCAGGAGCCTCATCCTTGGACTCTTGGAGGAGATGAGTTGTGACATTGAGAATGTACGTTTGGGCTTTGATAAAGACGAAGGAACATGGCTGTTTAACTTTTAAAACGTCAACCGTGGCAAATTCTGACCAACAGAGAAATCCTATGGTGTTGGGCTTGCTCGTGAAAAAAACTAGTGCTAGCTAGCTGAGGGCAGTTTTTTTTTCTGTTTAAGGGTATATGCCCCTGCACACACCCAATCTGCCACCTCAATGTTTTGCTGGTTCATCCTATATCTAGGAGTGAATTAATAAGTGAGAACCAACCCAAGAAAGAAACCGATGAAGCCATTCGTTGTTCTTGAATCTTGATCCCGGCCATAGATTTGAGTTCAGAAGGACTAGCTGCTGGTAGGTACTTGCTAAATAATATATATGCCATGTTTGTTTGGCTGATAAGCCATGGCTGAAAGTACCATTGGCTGATTTGTTGTGAGAGAAAAATATTATTCGTTGGCTGAAAAAAATATGGCTTATAAGCCAAGTGAACAGAGGGCTTAGGACGTTTTGTGACGGGCAGTGATGGTTTTTTTCCCCTCTTTCCAGTACCCTCTACCTTATTTACAGACAAGTACCTTTTAGCATAACACCGTACCCTATGCGAAGAGGGAAGAAGGAAAACATCTCTTGTTACTACAAAATTTCATTAACTTATATGAAATTAATTGACTTATGAAATACAGTAAGCCTTTCGTCAACTTTAATGGGAGAGACTTAATTAATTTGAACAGATCTGGAGATGGATTGACCAGGACTAATAATAATGCGACTTGGTTGCAAGTCTCGCGAAGCAAGTGGATTGATTGGTGCTAACAATGCAACTACAACGATGAGGGGGGAGCATCCGCTCAGTAAAATTTTAACCGTTACTATTAGATATTATTGGAGTGCGTACTAGTACTGTTTGAATGGCTACTGTACATTAAACTACGCCATTACTCCTCCGGACAGGTTTATAAGGGCAGTTCCAATAAAAAAAGCTAGTAGTTTCTATAACCTAGCATATCGTATAAAAAAAGTACTACTTTTTAACCTATGGTTTTTATGAGTAATAATTATTTTCTCTTTCTCTCTCCCAACTATATCTTCTTCCTTCAATGAGAGTGCGACACGAGCCCCCTAGAAACTGGTGGTTTCTTCCCAATGGTGATTTCATGGTTTCTTGATGCATTGGGTCAAGAGTAGACCTAATTTCTTCATGAGGAAACCATTTCTATGATTTTTGTTCTCTTTTTTCATTAATTACGTTGCCATGTCAGCGTTTTACCTACGTGGCAAGTCATTTAATGAGGATAAAAACCATCATCAATACACTATTGGGACTGTCATAAGGCGTGCTCGCGTTTTTTAGAAAGACCAGTAAGTTAGGCCACGTTTAGATGCCAAAATTGTTTGGTTTTGGGTATCGTAGCCCGTTTGTTTGTATTTGACAATTAGTGTCTAATTATAGACTAATTAGGTTCGAAAGTTTCTTCTCGCGATTTCTCACCCAACTGTGCAATTAGTTTTTTTTCGTCTATATTTAGTACTCCATGCATATGCCACAAGATTCGATGTGATAAGTACTGTGCAAAATTTTTTGAAATCTAAACAGGCCCTTAGGCACCACAGCCGTCCCGAGGAGTAGATTCAAAGCAACTTAAGCACTGCTAGTTAAGTACGCGCATCGGTTTTGTTGCTTGTGACTCGGTGTTTTCGCATCTACTGCTCTTCTACTATACATGCATGTAAATTAAAAAAACTCGGCCAATCCTGAGCAGTCGTAGCATGCGAGCCGTAAAGTTAATCACGCCTACAGCGCTGTTAGTTAGTTAGAGCAAGTATAATAAGGCTTAGTCAGCAGGCTGCACCATGTTACACGTCATCAAAATCCTAAGTGGAGCAGTGAGAAGATAAGAGAGAGAAGGAAGCGGGCGGTTCACGAAACGCCCGGCTGAATCACGTGTTATGAGATAGAAACGCCTACTCTTAGCCCGGTGCCGACGATAACTCGGCACTTGCTTGACCCACGTCCCAACTTCCTGATCCCGTGCGCCGATACTGCCCTCTCAGCTCCCACGCTTGAAGGGCCACACGGGATACTAGACCGCACTAGATCGTGTATGTACACGCACACATTAAATGCTCACTCTGTGTTGAACCAAACTAATAGCCGGTTAATTGTTAGCCTATTATATTAGTTAGCTACAGTATTAGCTTTATATGACGTGGCAATGTCATACAGCCGACTGCCGGCTAAGTTATTAACCATGCTCTTAATCGCGCGCACAGGTTTCCACCACTGTTCTTGGTATCTGGAATTTCCTCCGTTACGCCTTACGAACCTGTCCGGAGGGAGTATTCTTCTAAATTTGCCTTTATTTAGCTCCGATCCCCGGCGTTTGCTTGGTGGTCTGAACTCCTGTATGTATGCTGTTAACGTTGTTGACTGGTCTTTAGAGTTGCTAAATAAGATGACTGGGTCTAATATTTCTCTAAAATTCTAAAAAAAAAGTGTAACCATCCAGTCCCTAACTAAGCCGTTTGCAATGAAATTTAGATGCCACAGCCAGAGCCTGATCGACAGCCCCCCCCCCTCATGCTCTTCCCCGCTGACCCCTAGTGGAAAAACAAAATTAATACCCTGTAAAATATTTCAATGCATAGCAAAGCAAAGTCATCAATTCACCTATTTCTAATCATAATATTGCGATTTTCGTTATCAATACTAACTACACACTTATGAGATGTATTAAGCATTGAAAATGCTGTTGAGATATATTTATCACACTTATGAGGTGTCATTACGTTTGCCCGGCCCTTCTTAATCAAAATTGTTGATTCCCACCACAGCCGCAGAAAGGTAGAGTTTGATTCATTCAACGGTAAGTCGCTCGTTAAGCACATGGTTGTTATATTAGCCGATAAGTAAGGAGTCGTCACATGACAATGAATCTTTAATCTTTTGGGAATGGTCGTCGGACAGCTATATATGAATCTTTTATCCGGCAAGTTGGCACAAGAGATGAGGAACACATAGGCCGCGCGCTGTGTGCTGCTGGCTATATACGTTCACCGTTCACGAAGAGGTCCAGCGCAGACCATATCATATCGATCTTCCTCCCAAAGAGTAAAACTACTTTTAGGCGCCACTTTTGTACCGTGCCACATTTACCATGGACGACGAGGAGTACAGGAGAAAGCTGATGAAGAACATCTAGATGCTGGCGACGCTGGTGGCCACGGCGACGTACGCGGCGGCGTTCAACCCGCCGGCGGTGTCATTACGTGAAAAATAGTTTCTACCAACGGGGCTTTTTTTTAAGGGCAGCTGGCATTGGAGCAGCCCCTACAGTAGTGTGCTTGGACTCCAGCACAGCAGTCACCCATACAAATAACACAGTAGGGGTGGTTGGTAATACGAGCCGCCCCTACAAATACGTCGATTTGTAGGAGCGGCTGAATCACCAGCCGCCCCTACAAATGCCCGCTGTATATATAGCATCCATCTTCTTCCATGACTTCACTTTCCCCAAACTTTTCTCTTCCACCGAGCTACAGTCATTCGCTACCCCCAACCCTCTCCTTCCCCTCACCGCTCGAAGCTATCTGACGGCCGCAGCGCCTTCCCCTCACCGCGCCACAGCCATGGGACGTCCCCATCCCCTCTCCTGCTCGGCTGCTCCTCTCCGCACCACAAACATTCGCCGCCGTGCCGCACCGTACCCATCGGCCGCTGCCACCCCTGCCACCTGCGCCGCCGCCACCAATGCCCGGTGTCGCTGCGGGCGGCCCAAAGCCACCGGCCAGCGCTGGACGCCTGGTCCGGCGGTGCCGCGAACCTCCGACGGCCAAGGCAGTGGGGCGCCACGCCGGTGCCGAGCGAATAAGCGCCGGGGCGCCGCCAACCAGGGGCCGGGGAGCTCAGCGGGCGGGCACCGGGCGGAGAGCGGCGAGTGGCTAGCCTTTTCCGTTTATCCTCTCCCTCTGAACTCATCCCCTAAGATGGCTTCAGATCTGAGCATACCCGTTTTGGTTTGAAGTAAATGAATCATGAATGGTTCCTTTTTTGTCTTGTTTCAAATGTA